AAGTTAAAGGATTGATTGATTGATTGATATGTGGGGTTTAACGTCCCAAAACCACTATGTGATTATGAGAGACGCCGTAGTGGAGGGCTCCGGAAATTTTGACCGCCTGGGGTTCTTTAACGTGCACCCAAATCTGAGCACACGGGCCTACAACATTTCCGCCTCCATCGGAAATGCAGCCGCCGCAGCCGGGATTCGAACCCGCGCCCTGCGGGTCAGCAGCCGAGTACCTTAGCCACTAGACCACCGCGGCGGGGCGCGAAAGTTAAAGGGAAAAAAAACGCGAAAAAAAAAGCGGGGAATGCAGCGTGGTTAAGACTTTCGCTTGTAGCAAGAGACACCGGAAGGAAGTGTTGCATTATTGAGCTTGTCATCAAACTTTCAACCAGTTTTATTCACAAAAAGAAAAAAAAAAACTAACCAGCCTCGGACCTTTGGGGGACAACAAAACAATCACTTGTAGTACAAATGAACTTCGATGGATGCTTCCACAACAAGACGCCTGCTGCTGCGCCAGACGGGACACGCAGGAAGTTGGCGGGAGAGTTCGAAACAACGTCACAGGAGCAGCCGGTGCCATTCACATGATTATTTTACGCATGTCAAATTCACTCGTTTGCACCACCTCGACACAATCCGGCGCCGGCGAAACGTAACCGGCGACGACTAGCGGAGGGGAAGGGTCGATACTCGCACAGGGGTCATGCCTACCACCACGGCCCGCCGCTTCATCTCCGCTATGTTCGGTAAGGTCAATGACGTCCACTGTGAGATCAACAAACGTCGTCTTACGGCGCTTGCTGGGCCGCCCATCACGCTCGTTGGACGAGGACATCGAACGCCTCTTCGAGCTTCTAGCAGATGTCGTCGAGGCTTTGCCCGCTCGGTAGTCATCGCCCGGCGAAGCCGACGGCGTCCAGGAACCGTCCGTGCGGAAAACGACGCTGTTGCAGCTGGCGGGTGCCTTCTCGACAATCTGCTTAAAAAGTTGGTCTACGAACAGCGAGAAGAAGTCGGCCCGCCGACCGCAGACGGGACAGATCCACGTGGGCCGCGTCTCGTTCACCTGCAAGTAGCTGGCCGCATCGAAGCACTGAACGTGCTTGCACCCGTGCGCTCGGCACGGGACGCTCATCCGCTTCTTGCTCAGCGGGCAAGTGAGCGAAACGTGAAAGCTGGTCACCGCGATGTCGTCGCCACCGCTTGCTCGCTCCTGCACTTTCTTCTTGATGTGCTCTCTGGTCGCGACCATGCTCGGCGCTTCTCTCGCCTGCAGTTCCCGAAGAATCGTGGCCGCCCATTTCTTCCGCACGAGAAACACGCCGACGAGGTACTCGCGGCCCCGTTCGCGCGCCCAGTCCAGCGAAAGCCTGTTCTTCATGTCGGGATGCAGGAAGCAGTAGGAGACAATGTTCACGGGCTGGCGTACGTGTACGGTCACACCGCCGGGCACCTGCGCAGGAATCAACGCTGGCAGTGCGCAGACCTTGTCGTTCACCTTCACGCTCAAATCGGCCGGGTAGCAGTCCTCCTGGTCGCTGCTCTTGTAGTCCAAGCAAAAGCGGAGGTGCACCTGGACCCCGTACTCTGAAACCTCCGGGGTTTTATGGGACAGCGACGTGAAAATTTCGTTCACGTGATGCGGCAGGAAACGGAACTGGAAGCACTTGTGGCACCGAGAGTGTCCGTCGCTTTTGAGGCGGGTCGCCGGTAAGAGCGTGGCCACGACATCGTAAAACGGTTGCTTCCTGAAGTAGACGTGCGGATACCTCGAACGCGACGACCTACGAGACGTCTTCGAGGAGCTCCACGATGCCATCGCGGACAGACGCCGGTGTCCTGGAAGCCTGAGGAACGTGGACAGCTAGAAGGCAGCGTAGTCGTCGCCGTCGTCTTGGCAAAGGATATGCGTAATCGGCCTCGCGCGACTGACCAGACACTCGGCGCGTCTACATATACGATGCGCCGCTCGCCAGCTTCACCGTGACCTAAGCGCTTTCTAGCTATCACACTGCTTCGTATTCCACGGCCTTTCTTTTCGTAGCGCGCCTTCCTTTCTCGCTGATACAGCATGTACTGATAGCGCGGTGAAAGCGACAATGGAATTCACCGGTGACGTCCGAATCCGTGTACTGTACTTACAAAGAAGCTTTAAATTCGAAGAAAGTTTACACTAAGTTCAGTTTAGCGTGTGCAATGCACCAAAGCTATACAGGTCGCACTTAATCGTAGGAAACTATAAGATCAGTGCTCAACTAGGCTGTCTATAACGACGGAGCGTCGCGTGCGGAACAGCACGAGCGACATCTGCAGTCGCAAATACGCCACATCTGAGCATGCACGGCGCCAATGGTGTGCCTGCCTTGCACTTTCCCCCCTTATTTATCTCCGCGGCCGCGATGGCTGCTTTGGCCGTCGAAGCGCTGTCAATATTACAACGCTTTTACTTCGACTTTCTTTCTCTTTTTTTTGTTTTTTCGCGAAATCACTCAGAGCGATTTCGACGGCCAAAGCGGTTGTTGCATCCGCGGCACATCACTGGCACCGCGCATGCTCAGATGTGACGTATTTGCGACTGCAGATGTCGCTCGTGCTGTTTGGCGCACGACACTCCGTCGTTATAGACAGCCGAGTTGAGCACTGATCAAAGTAGGCGATTGTTTCGCCACCGCGGTCCAACAGCGGTTGCGCTGCTGACCCGAAGGACGCGGGTTCGACTCCTGCTGCGACTGTCACGTTTCCAATAGAGACGAAATATACAAACCCCTGTGCTACGTCAGTGCACGTTGAATAACACACCGAAATTGTCAAAATTTTCGGAGCACTCCACTGCGGTGTTCCTTTTCATCATACTGTTGTTTTGACACGTGAAACCCTAGTAACTACACCGCTGTAAGGTCAGAGCTGTATCACGTGTGTCATGCATCCCAACTATAGAGTCGGTTAGAAATAGTCCTGAGCGGCAGGACTTGTGCATGCTCTCCTTTGATTCCATCGCACTTCATGAAGAGGCGAGCCTCTCGCTATTCCATCGGACACGTTTTGTGCTGTGCTTATGAATGCGAAGGACATATTCTCCACTGTTGGGGAAAAAAAAAAGATAACGATCGCTAACTGTGCTTGCCGCTCGCGCACGCTTGTACTATCACCTCCACCCCTTAAAATGGGGCTGTTGTACTTCGAGCAGGTCGTCGCTTGGCGGAAGGCATTTTGTAGGGCAGACCTGGCTACTGACGAGCGCGAGCGACCATTACAGTGCATGTGTGTCACAAACACATCGTCGAACGACGTTGTGTGTCTCGTTGTTACGTCGTCCATGTATCGAGCCGAATTTCTTTAACAACGCTGCTTAAGACAATCTGGCTAATAAATTTGTAGCATTATCAATAAGAGGCTAAAAAGTAAGAACTTCGCACTTTTAAGATGCTCAGGTTACACACGGGACTATACTTCCACCTGCGCAGCGAAACTATGGAAACGCCATGATTCGGCTCTGTATAGCATTCTCGCGATATGTTCGGTGGTGGTAGTAGAGCGAGGGGAGCGAGCGGGGGCTGGTTCCGGTTTTGGCAAACTATCCACGCTGCGGGATCGGAGTAAGCCGAACACAAATCAGGGCTCGTTCTATCGGCGGCCCTAGCGCTTACGCCCTGATCTAGTCCAACACGTCCGGAGACCTTTACGTATAACCGTTATCGGAAGGAACGGTGCAACCAACAGTTATTTTGCCAAAATGGTTCACATTTCCACGTCTCCCTGTCGAATGAGCCTCGATTAAGTCGGAGTTATGGCTCCCACTCGTGGCGTTTCCTTCCATTCTATCGAAGAACGCGCACAAGATGTCTCGTGCACCCCACCAAAAACGGAACTTAATTCACTAGGTTCTTTTTTTTTTGTAATCTGTCTGGTAATGTGCTCAAATGGTCTTTCTTTTTCTCGTGCTAATTGCATTGAGCATGGTTGATCAATTGCACTGAGGATATATACTACGTCATTGGGCTTACTTTATAATGTGTCCCACAGGTGAAGCTAATCGAGCCCTACATTTACTTTAATTCATTGTTAACAAAAGCGCTGCTGCACATTTGACCTCTCTAATGTTCTGAAGCATTGAACTCCCGCTCTGAAATAAAATGTTATTTAAGCCTTCGCTGCTTTGAGAACAAACAGACTACTAGTATGGGAGGCCCAGCTGACAAGTCTGGGTCTCCCAGATTAGTATACTTGCAGAGATTCTACGTCCCGAAACTACACGGCATGACTACGAGAGATGCCGTAATGGAAGGCTCGGGCCATTTCGATCACATGGGATACTTTCACTGGCGCCTAAGCATAAGTACACCTCTAACACATCGCTTCGATCGAAATGCGGCTGCCAGGGTTGGGATTTGATCCTGCGACCATGCGGTCGGCGGTCTAGAGCCATAATCACTAGACCGACAAGTCTGGGGTCCCGGCCTGTAAGAACAGGACTATAGTCATTAGCACAGGTCCACGTAATCTTGAAGTAGTCTCATCACCCGCATCCGGGGATCATCAGCTGGGGCTCCAGAGCAGAACTTATTTACGTATATATACTTACTCGCTTGGGAATTGACAAGCGGCAACGCGATGAGCCGATAATAAATGTATAACGTTTACACGCGGTAAATATATTTTTTTTCACTGCTAATGGTAATAATTACAAAGGCTCTATGTCCCAAAACCCCCGCATGATTAAAAGACGCTATTTTTCACACTTCGAAAGCGCTGTCCTCTTTTCATGCCTTAAAAGCTGCTCACAGTATATACCGATCAATGCTCATGCGCATATGAAATGTGGCAACAGAGAAGCCGGATATTAAACGAACTTCTCCCTCTTTTTTTTTCGCCAGCCAGCGACAAGTAGAACTTTCAGTTCGCGGACGCGTTCGTCAATGAAATGAGCGGCGCATATCTGGCGATACATACGTCACGCACTCTTGCGCCACCGGCGGCTTATATGAACGACCAAAGAAGTATTCACAGTTGGCTCAATCTGCTTTTATTCATTTTTCGCATATATTGCTGCACGATAACAGGGGGAGATGATAGTCTTGATTCGATTCGCTCTCAGCATCCAGCATTTACGAAAGCAGCAAAGCATTTTAAAGGAGACTAAAATCTTAAAACGGTAAAAGCGATCAAATAAGGTAACGTACCAGGTGGACACACGAACTGTGCTTCACGACGTGTGCACCGAGAAGCCCCCCGCTCGTGAGATTCGCGCAAAAACTTATCATTGTGCCCAACGTTGCACGCTAAAGAGCTAGGCGGTATAGGCGATAGGCTTAAGCACAACATTCGTGCTACTTACTTGCGCCATCAAATTGAATTAAAAGTCAGCACATTGCGACCGCGTGTTCGTGTATATAAGCAGCCGTGACGCGGATGTCGCCGTGCGTGTTGAGATGGAACATGTCGCCCACAAGCCACTCCGCTGCTTAAACTCAATAAGTCGCGATTATTAACACAATTTGGCGCAAACGACGCAAAAAAAAAACTGGTTCTGTTGGTACCGGAGGACTATTTCACGACGGGAACGGGCCCAATACGAGTGTTCTCGAATTCTCCGCGCAAGCGTTGCGGGCCGGTAAGCTCGACGGAGCCAAACGTTAGCATCGCACACCACAGTCCGCCTCGTCGTCACTGCTGCTATTGGTCAAGTCGATTACTTCTATCGTCGGCTGCTTGAGGGATCGCCCGACCTGCTGGCTGAACGAGGATCTCGAAGGCGGCACAGAACCACGAGCGGTAGACAGGGGAGGAGTCACGCAAATTGTGGCGCCGTGGTCCCTCTGCGACGGAGTCCAGGAGCCGTCCTCGTGGAAGACGACGCCGTCGCAGTCGTTGGGCACGTTCGCCAAGATGTGTGCGAACACCTGGTCAACGACCAAGGACGACAAAGGCGCCCGCATCATGCACACGGGACACGTCCAAGTGGGCCTCCGCTCGTTGACCTGCAGGTAGTTGAAGCCGTCGAAGCAGTCCAGGTGCCTGCACGACCGTGCGCGACACGGCACCTTCATCCGGGACTGGCTCAGTGGGCACGTGAGCGAAACGTGGAACCTGGTTATGGCCACGTCGTCGGATATGGTTGCTCGGCGCTTGGCTTTCTTCTTGATCTTGTCTCTCGTCAGAGCCACGCTCAACTGTTCAAGCCCGCACAAAATGGTCGCTGCCTCGAGCTTCTTGACCAAGAAGAGACCAACGACGTAGTGTAGGCCGCTTACGGGATGCCAGGTTACGCACACCTTGTTCACAACGGAAGGCTTCAGTTTACAGGAGGAGACGATGTTAATGGGCAGGTACACCCATTCGATTGGCCCACCGGATACCTTGCAAGGAATGGGTGCTGGCAGTGCCAAAGATTCACCGTTGACCTCCACGGCCAGGTTCAAAGGGTAACTGTCGTCCTGTTCGCTGTTCGTGTAGAGCAAACGGAAGCGAAGGTGCACTCGCACACTGCACTCTCGGTTCGCGTCATCCGTCGAAGACGAGCGAATGGCATCCACGTGCTGCGGTTTCAATCGGAAAGCAATTTGCTTCAATCCTTTGCACCCGAAACTCAATAAGGGCGTCGTCGGGACAAGTATGGCCAGGACGACGAATAGGGGCTCCTCCTTGAATAACAGAAGCGGGGATTCCGGAGATTGAATTCGGGGCATCTTGGTCGTTCTCGTCCCGTGGTTTGTCGTATACACGAAGGTGCTCAGATGCAGCTGTAATCTTCACGGTCGGCCGAGCGGCTAAACCACGGCATCGTTGTTGTAGTCTGCGCGCTGCTGACATGCCGGGTAAAAAAGAGTGGACGGCGAAAAGACGAGCGCTGACAGTCGCCCATTTTTCATGCGCGTGCGCGGATAGGCAAGGAATTTATACTGGTAGGAGGTGAAAAGGATCTATAGATTGTCGTTTCCAAGCATGTGTCATTCACCATATGGCGTATTAATTTTGCGTGCATCGCTATCACTAAATACACAGTTAATCCGGCTTACATACTGACTAAATGCACAGATGGTCACGCTTAGTATACGCCTCTGGTACTCGTGATGAGCATGCTATACGGAGCTTGCCGCCATGATCAAAAGTCTCGGTGTAAAAGTTGTGTCGATATGTGGGAATGCTTGCCACACGTGTATATCGTTCGCTCAAGTACAATTACTCGTACTTTTGTCCCTTCATAGCAAAACTTTTCTTTAATATGTGTCATCGGGAAGATATGATAACATGGTAGCCGTTTTGCTTTGTCTCAAGGAATAAGCGTCAGGCCTGGAGAGCATATCGGTTCTCAAACTGGGTCTCGCGGAATCGAGGGGTTTTGCGAAAGACACCTCGCGAGCGACCAGAGCGAATGCAAATCGCTCCAGTGAAAGCCATAATAGCAACAAATTTATGCAGACAAGCAAATGCGTTTTGCATTTACGGAGCCAATGCAGGTCGCATCGCACATCGGGTGTCTGCGGGTGGCGAGAGAACCACGCGGTGTAGCAGCACTAAAGACTCGCCGTCTGGTGGGCACCACAAAAATTGTATAGGATTTGCAGGTCGCGGTAACCGAATTCATGCTCATGGGCGCGCTTAAGCCAGTTAAAACGGCATTAACGGGCATTTCGGGGCTTTATTCGTGCCGCATGGCGCGTCAGCCATCACGTGGCACAGTTTTCATACGCGATGATATCCAACTGCTATGTGCTGATCTTGTAATGAAAACGCGCGACTGACACTGTATGATACGCTTTAGAGGCGTTCCTTTCACTGTGCGATCGACTGGCATGTCTGCAACCCCCCGTGTGCTCAGATTTGGGTGCACGTTAAAGAACCCCAGGTGGTCGAAATTTCCGGAGCCCTCCACTACGGCGTCTCTCATAATCAAATAGTGGTTTTGGGACGTTAAACCCCACAAATCAATCAATCAATGTCTGCAACCCCCCCCCTCTTTTTGAATTAAACAAAACAGGCCTTTGTAGGTCGGGCGTTTCAATTGTGTGGACATACAGCTTAACACAGCGCGGTAGCTGAAGCATATATATATATATATATATATATATATATATATATATATATATATATATATATATATATATATATATATATATATATATATATATATATATATATATATATATATATATATATATATATATACACACACACTGCCGGCGCGCAGTTTACGTATACACGCAGAGCGGAATCGCAATTCGCAGCTCTATAAACATACATCAACAGCGATGGCTCTCGGTATTAAAGAAAATAGCACATCGCGTCAAAAAAAAAGGAAAAGAAAGCTCGTTTCTATGCTCGATCGGAAACAGCTTTGCAGCTGCTGTGCCAGTTGTCACGTGATCATAGAATGCGGTGGCGATCTTTGGGCTGCTACACGGTGTGGACTGGGCGGAGCTTGCACGCCGCGATGGCGCTACAAGCGCCTCAGTATGTCGACGGCACCTACCGTTGTTTGCAAACATGGAGCAGGCCTATACACGTCGACGGATCATAAGGGTCGATGCGTTAGTGAGTTTTCTGCGGCTATATGTACCCGAAGGAAATCTTTTTTTCTTGAAGCAAGAATTAGATACTTTTTTGCTGGTTTCTTTTCTTTTTCGTTTCTTTGTATTGTCATGTTATGTGATAATTGGTTGTTACTTTTGCATCTCATGGTTGATCACTGAACATGCGTATCATTGTCGGTTTTCGCACTAGATACACCATCGTATAAGTGTATATGGGCTCTGCCTCACACAACAGTTGGTAACGAGCTCTGTTTGTGGGGTGTCTCTTTGCGCATGTGTACGTGTGTGTGAGTGAATGCAAAGTTGCGCCAAGTTTCTTCAATAAGTCCGGCCTGAACCACTGGTAACGCAAATACTGTCCTCAATTTAGCTCCATTTCTCTATTACCGAGGCACTGCTTTGCATAATACTGACGTTTTAGAGGTTACCAAGCTTGTACGTTCGACTATGACGAGAAATATTTTTCTTCTGTCTCGGTATGTAGCAACAAACTATACCGTGTATGAGAAACCCAGCCTATACAAACCCCGATGACCCATAATAATATTTGTCGTGGTTTAAGGCCCCGAAGCCAGGATATTATTAAAGAGGCCTCAGTGAAACGCTCCGGAAATTTTGACCATCCGGGATTTTCCCACGTGCACACGTCCTCTGTAATTTGGCCTACACAGAATCTTCACAACCGGGATTCGATCCTACGACCTTGTGACCGGCTTTCGGCACCATAACCAATAGGCCAACGCGGCTGGCATGGGGTCCCAGTGTGCGGATAGTTATTAGCACAAGCCCGTGAACACCTGGAGTTTTGTGACCGCCACAATCGGGAATCAACAGCTTGGGCTCCTGAGTAGAATTCATTCACTCATTTGGTAATGAACGAGCGGCATGGCGACACGACGAATGGAAATGTGTAACGATATACGCGCGGTTCATATTTCTAACTGTGAACAATATTTGATGGTATTTTACATCCTACAATCACGATACGATTAAGAGAGACGCTCTTTTCAACTATTCGAGTGCGCTGTTCTCTTTTTTTTTCATAATATATACTGCTAACGATATGCTCGATTGCTGCTAATGTGCGCCTAAACCATGGCAGCCGACAAGCCTGTACATTAAGCTAACCATAGAGAGCCCATGCGAGTCCCGCTGAAAGATTTGACTATTCGTGTACTGTTGCTTGTGCGCCATGCAGCCAACGAACAGCCTTATCAGTTGCTCTGGGTGCGAGAGCTTTACCACGGTGGATGAATTTTCACATTTGCTATTGAAATTAACAGCACATATCACACAGTAAATGCGTTGATTTTGCACTATCAGTTTATGAATAATGAAAGACGGATTCGTAGTGGGTTTTATCTTATTTTATTTTTTTATCATTTTGAATGATGGCACAAGGAGATGATAGTCTCAGTTCAATTCACTATTAGTATCCAGCTTTTATAGAGAGAGGAGCAAAACGGGTCAAAATATTAAGAGCTTAAAATTTTTAAAAATGGTAAAACCATGTCAAAAGAGAGAACCGAACTGGGTAAACAGAAGAGCCGTGCATTTAACCCATGCAGTGACAACCACCTCGTTCCCTTATTTGCCGCAAAAATGAACCACTGTACTGATGGGCGTTTAGATTCCAATGCTGCAGTTGATAAGGCGGCTGTATTCATTCGTATACTAATGGCCAATAAAAAGCACAATAACGTTCGTGCGATTCGTCGAAAGTGGCGCCATGAGATGTGATAAGACGACAACGTGTTGCGACCGCTAGTCCATGAACAGAAACAGCAGAGGCGCGGACACGCAAACACTGATGAATAGTGTTTCAGCAGCACCGAACCAAAGGCGAGTTTTCAGAGTCGTCCACGCAAGCGTTGCGAGCCGTCAGAGCCGGCGAAACAAAACGCTAGCAACGCGAACCACAGTCCCTGTTTTCACAGCTGCCGGAATTGGTCAAGTCAATGACTTCCATCCTGGGCTGCTTGCGGGACCACCCGACTTGCTCGCCGGACGAGGATCCCGGAGGTGGCGCAAAGCCACGAGCCGTAGACGAAGCAGGCGTCGATGAAGCCGTAGCGCCATCGTCCCTCTGCGACGCCGATGACGGAGTCCAGGAGCCGTCCTCGTGGAATACGACGGCGTCGCAGTCACCGGGCACGTTCGCCAAGATGTGCTCGAACAGCTCGTCAACGACCAAACACGACAACGGGGCCCGCAAACCGCACACGGGACACGTCCACGTGGGCCTCTGTTCGTTGGTCTGCAGGTAGTTGTACCCGTCGAAGCAGTCTAGGTGCTTGCAAGACCGCGCGCGACACGGCACCTTGATCCGGGACTGGCTCAGGGGGCACGTGAGCGAAACGTGGAACCTGATTATCGTCACGTCGTCGCCCATAGTTTCTCGGCGCTTAACTTTAATTTTAACCATAACTCTCGTCAGAGCCGCGCTCAACTTTTCAAGCCCGCTCAGGACGGTCGCCACCGTGAGCTTCTTTACCAAGAAGAGACCGACGACGTAGTCTCGGCTGCTTACGGGCTCCCACGTTACGCACACCTCGTTCATCGTGCAAGGGCGCAGGGAACAGGAGGACATGATGTCAATGGGCAGGTACACTTTTCCGGTCAGTCCGCCGGATACCTTGCAAGGAATAGGTGCTGGCAGTGCCAAAGATTCACCGTTGACCTTCACGGCCAGATTAAAAGGGTACATGTCATCCTGTTCGCTGTTCGTGTCGAGCAAACAGAAGCGAAGGTGCACTCGCACACTGCACTCTCGGTTCGATCTCGCGTCATCCGTCAACGACGAGCGAATCACTTCCACGTGCTGTGGCTTCCATTTGAAAAAAATACGCTCACGCTGCAAGTCCTTGCTCCCAAAATCCACTAAAAGCATCGGCGGAACGAGTGTGGCCAGGACGTCGAAGAATGGCTCCTTCTTGAAATACTGGAGCGGGGATTCCGGAGACTGAGTACAAGACATCCTGGTCGTTTCCGGCCCGTGATTCTTGGTGTACGAAGATACTTCAAACTACTAATCGTAACGGTCGGCCAAGCGGCCAGGGCCACAACATCGTTGTCGTCGTCTTCGCGCGGCGGCACACGGGCCGATCGAGTGAAGCAGTGGAACACCAGCACTAGTGTCATTGTTGTTGTCGTTTTCCTGTGCAAATGGCTCGTACCCAAAGAAGGGGATTGGCCGATTATAAGGTGAATTTGCCCTAAACTTTCAGCATTGCGTCATTCCTACAAAATGTTTTTGTAACTTGATTTTGATTTGAAATACCGATATCAAGTTTGCAGAAAAAAAAAGGAAGAAAAATAGTGAGACAGCAACTAGTGTCGATTATCGACTTTTTATGTCGCGTGCGCATTAAGGGGACGGACAAATAAAATAGCGAGGAGAGCTATGTGACGAGGGTGTATTGTCCTATCTAGGATTGTCGTATGCGCATGACATCAAAATTTCCGGAGCCCCCCACCACGGCGTCTCTCATAATCATACGGTGTATTTTGGGACGTTAAACCCCACAAATCAATCAATGCGCATGAAATACCTATTTTGCGCACGTTGCTATCACTAAATACAGTTAGTATGGCTTGTCTGCCCCTCTATAGGGCAAATTGGAAAGTATACATGCCTCTGGTACTCATGATGAGCACACTATATGACTTGAAGCTTGCAGCCATAAGCCACTGGGCCAAAGTATATATGTTCACACAGTATATCAACTGGTGTACCATTCGCTTAAATACAATTACTTGCACTCCGGTCCTTTCGCAGCAAGATCTTTCTGCTACCTGCGTAATCGCGTAAATACCCCCCCACAAGAACCCGTAATAAGTTTCATGTTGCCTCAAGCAAAAAAGCGTCAAACCAGTAGAATAACAATAATATCTAGGGTATTACGTCACAGAACCACGCTTTCGTTATGAGAGAAGTCAAAGGAAAATGCCCCGGAAATTTCGGCCATCTGGTGTGCCTTTACGTGCACTGACATAATACAGTACACGAGTCTCTGTAGCCTTTCGCCTCCGTCAAAATGCGACCGCTGCAGCCAGAACCGAACAAGGCACTTTCGGTTCAACGGACAAGCATGCCACTGCTCCACCGCGGCGGGGAGGCCTGCGGAGGATGTGGTCCACGGGCACGCTGCCAGACGATTGTGTGGGGGGGGGGGGGGGGGGGAGAGAGAGAATCCACAACACTTTATGTTTGTTCATGCGTGCGTTTGTCTGTGTATATACACAACCTAAACTTTGGGGAAGATACAAACCTCCGCATTGGCTTCTCCAGTAGTGCTCCACACACTCTTCCTTTACGACGAGCTTAACTGCTGAGTTTTCTTTTCATTTTTTTCGAGTTAGCCTTCCGAGGCGTGTCTTTCATTTTCACTGCAGCTGGTATGCATCCGTCATGCCTATAGACGACAGCGAGCAACGCGCATGATCGCAGGAGGCCTTTTTGTAGAGTCAGCGAGAATGCAGCCGCGAAACACGAGCAAGACGAAGCGCGAGCCTCAAACCGGCATTCCTGGTCGCTTCTTTACTTTCAAACCTGGTCTCCCGCGAGCAGCGTCTTCTCGGGTCCGACAGCCACTCCGTTTTTGCGCTGCCGCGAAAGAAAGAATTGCAAGCGAGCCACCGTGCTTCGCTTTCGACGCATCGCGAAACAAGCAGGGCGCTCAATGTGGGCCGAAGCCACGCGCGAATGAGACGCCACGTGCGAGCGCCAGTACGCGCTTGGTGTGCGGGAACGCTACGACATAGTCGGCTCGAGTCGGCCCAAAGTACGGTCGTCCAGTTTGCTAGCAAGCCTGGCCCAGTCACCTTCTATAGCTACCATTCAGTCGGCGTGATTGACTTGCCTGTCCCGCTTCACGGCATGTGCGCAAAACCCGGGGGTGCTATTCTGGACATTGTCGAATTCCGCCATGTTGTCATATTCCGCCATTGATCGGTGCTGATTGGCCAAGTGAGCTGCTACGACCTCTCTGATTGGCTTAAAATGCCGCCATTACGAAATTTGACAATATGGCGGATTCAGACAATTGTCCATAGTAGCACCCCCGGTTCAGTTGGTTGGCCTCACTTCTGCCTCGACCCGCTCCCTTTTCAGCCGTTGGCCGAAGAGCACGCAGCTGACGTACCACGGAATACGTATACTATACGGAAATTCACTAGTCGAGCGCTTTTGGCCATTTCGAAATATACGCCAGGGCTCCCGTCGTATGCGCGGAAAACCGTGACCACAATCACCTCTTTGATGACAAGGCTACATTGCGATATACCGTTGAGCCAAAACGTTCGGGGTGACATTTCTAAGATTGAGACAATGTTTCTGCAACATACCAGCAACATGGCGTTAACATTTCTGAGTGCAGAGTTGACTTTCAAGGAATGTGTGCAGGAAATATGCGTGTATTTATTACAGGGCATTTCGCCTTGTACACACATGAATTGTATCTAAACTGCCACAAGCCCTGACCAGAGAAAAGGCTGTCATGTGGTGGGGAAGAATACATAAATAAATATTGTCCATGCATTAAGTTTCCATACGTGCCTTCATCAACACAAAGTAGGCTTCCAAGTTGTGGTGAGATAACCGGCTGCACTGCAGGGAAGCATCCCGGAGTGGAAATGCATTCTGTGTTTCATAGCGGGCAACCTATACATGTGCGGTCACTGGCTGGTGGTCTTGCATGTAACGCACGGTGAACGTTATATAACGTGAATATCTGCGCAAGAACAGTTAGTGGTACAGCTACAGTGTAAAGAAAACGTACACGCGACTGCACATTGCCCTCCTGAGCAAAATGCTGAGATTTGCATCTGACCGAACCAAATTATAGGTCACAAGCTATACAGTTCAGCAGACAGCCGACACAATAATTCATCTCGGAACTATCGTCCTATTGGGTGTGTAGTGGATATACATTTGTATATATATGCTGATTCAGAATCGTGAGTTGAGCAAGTTGGTGGTTGTTTATCGTTGAATGTTTTACAGCGCAACTACCTATTATAAACCAGACATGAATCACGTTGTGTCGTAACACATGAGCACATACGCACAGTTTTGACGAGGCATTGTTTCCTATATATGTTCTTTCCTTTTTTTTCAAGTAAATTTCAGATGTGAGTTCAGGGCTGTGTCCCTTATGTGTCCGTTTCTAACTCGTTGCGCTATAAAATGTTTTACGATGCGCATACATATTCGTGTCCTTTAGAGATGTGAGAGTGTCTTCAGAAAATAAAACACCGCAGAATTTCATCGAGTTTGTAAACCGTCCGCGATTTTCGGTACACCGTCCAACACGAGAATATCAATTGCATCTACGAAACTGAGCCTCGGGGAGTCACGCGAAGCGATTCGGATCACCTATCTACCGATCACGAGCCTATAACAACTCACATACCTTCAGGAACGAACCTCTATGCTCGTAGCAGCGCGCGCTGTGTCGCCGCCGGGGTCAGTATGGGTTTCCAAACGAAAACACGTTTGCTATCCGCGGCACGCAGGAATTAAAGAGTTCACCGCATCGTTGATCTTGGACGCAAACATACAGCAGCGCCGCTCCGTTTTATTTCGAATCTGGCGAGCATCTTCCTCGAGGCCGCAGTTTTGAAAACACCCGCCTGAAATTGATCGTGTTTACTTGCCTCCTCCGCTGCTATGCCTAATAGAGGCACAGTACACTCGCGTATCCCACCCTTGCCCCCGCTTTTAATGGCGGCGCTTACGGCGAAGTCTCGTAACCCGCGCGTACCGCATACTAATCACTCCGAGCGGGCGGCGTCCAAGAGGGAGCGTGCTGTACGGGCGCGCACGGCCGCGTTGAAAGAAACCGGAATCCGGAGCAGCGGCGCTGTGCTCATCGTGGCAGACGTCGAGGCCGGGGCGGAGCCGCTGACGGCGCCAGCTTTGCATGCTGATTCGCGCCACGCCAGAATGATACGCTCGTGGCACGTAGCGGCCAGCCGTTCACCGTAAATCATGCACGCGGGTGCAGTGCGTGCAGGACGAAAAGGCTGACCTCCGCCGAGTAAGTTCCTGCTGGGAGCGCGGAGAGCAAACGATAAGAGAGATGGAGTGTGTACGAGGCGCGACGGGGTTTCTTCGGGCGCGTTGAAAGCGAGCGAAAGTGCGTTGCGCCCTCAAAAGCGTCAGACGTGTCTGCACGGCTGTGGAGAGAGCTGCACGGAGAGATAGATATATTTAGCTGAAACAAACCCCAGTCTGGGTCCGCTGGAATGAACTCCTTCTGCCCAGTAAGTTTCCTGACCGAAGTATCGCATCATTATCACGAACCCAGTCAGACATCTCCTGAATGAATGAATGTAACAAAAGTAAACTGCACTTCTTCTGACTACTTCTCTTTCAGGCTTCATTTGAGGCGCAGTTGAAAATTCGGAAGATCCTTGAGATTCGCACAATGTGGTACAAGGACATCTCCGCATTCATTGCCGAGATTGTGGGTGCACCCCTCTCTTTGATCAGTGCTCAATATTGGCAAGGCACAGGGACCAGCTTACCCGAGAAATTATCGAAGCCGAAAAAATACACTTGCTAGGAGATAAATGTGTAAGCACATCATCGATTGCTTTATTACAGGCTGAACGTGATTACCTAGCTGGGCTTTGAGGCAATAGAGGACCTGTCACACGTGTTTTGTTACTGATGTGTAGATTAGGCTTGCATTTTACCTTCATGCTCTGTTATCATCCTTTTTAGCAGTATATATTCTTGCCACTCTGTGAAATAAAGTTAGTTGGAAGTCAGCGCTCTTTCTGTCTACCCTGTCCTTTTTCCTTTGTTTGCGCGCTGAAACATCTTGCAAATATGACTACGCACCAACTAGCCCAAGCTTCCACTCTTGTCGTTTCAATGAGGGCGATACGTAAAAAAAAAGCTGTCTGCACATTAAATAACCTTGTGTGGTCGAAATTAATTACGAGTCCGTCACTACACAACGTGCTTGA